CCGGGGCGTCCCCGCACAGCCCCGTGAACGCGCAGGCCTGCCGGGCCCCGCGGAGAGCCGGGCCGTTCTGCCCCAGCAGCTCCCACGCTGGTTTCACTGCCCTGTGCCGGTGGGCAAGGGCACGGCGCTCCCGCGGTGTCGGGCGCAGTCCGGGCGAGGTGGCTCGGGAGAGCTCGGCTGACTTTGCCGTAGTGGCAGGGACCTTACGGAGCCCCAGAATGAAAGGCCACGTTTGGGAGTAAAAAAGGTTGCCTTTGGTTGTGCGTTTGCTGAGAAAGGCCCGGCAAACACTTGAAGAAATTTTAGAAAACAGTAAGATACTAACATATTGTTACACGAGGTAAAAAATGGTACTTGTAGGGTACCAAAACAATGTATTTCTTTGTCTCCAATGTACAGAAATCATTATCAATGAATTCTCGAATGTTTCAGTTCTTGAACATCCTTAGTCACATCATCCACTGTTTCAAACTTAACTTTCATGCTACACTTCAGAAATGCATTAGTTTTACTGAATTCGCTTTAGTGTTACTGGGGCATGCAAAAAAGGCCCCTGGACTGTTGAGCTGCTGTAGCAGTGCTTCATGGGTTTATGGGTACCTTTCCTCTGAGGGTTTTTTCTGCAGTTTGCAAAGATGAGTGCAGTTCTTAATGCAGTAAAGAGCACAAGAAAGAGCATGTCTCTGGTTGCAGGTTTTGACACGTTATATTCTGTAAGTGGTTGCCTTACCTATTAGATAATAACTAGCAAGGAAAATATGCAGATAGGAAGATGTGTTACAAGTGAAACTGTATTTCTCTTCTGCTCATAAGTAATATTTTTGGTTCTATAATACCCAGTTACCTCCCTTTCATCCAGTTTTCTCTGTTGAATTCCTGTAGTAGTAGATTCTTGTCTAGAGAATACATCAAATAATCTATGGTCTTCTAGGGAGTGATTAACACATATGTGCTGCAGTGGTTTTGTGTGTACCTTAAAGAACACTTGAAAGTGAAAAATAACCTGACTATTTTAATATCAGCATATGCTAATGTAATTGCACTTAATATATGGAAAAGTCATTATTTACCTTTTCTCTGAATACAGGTTCACAACGTTAGATAATATAAAACAGCATAATGAAAATACAAACTGCTGTTCAGCATGGGAAAGAAGGGTAACATTAATCAAACAAGTTGCATAAAGTTTTGTTCATTTTTAATTTCCAAGTTTCGTAGTTACCTTTATATTATTATTATTAAGGGAAAATGTCCTGAAGATGGATGGGATGAAAGCACCATTGAACTGTTCCTTCATGAACTTGCTATAATGGATAGCAATAACTTTCTGGGCAACTGTGGTGTGGGTGAGAGGGAAGGAAGAGTGGCGTCAGGGCTCGTTGCCCGAAGACATTACAGGTACAAATTATTGGCAATTTGAATTATTCAGATTTATTATTAATGCTGTCACATGGCATATTTTATCGTGTCTTGTTATCTGAGACCTTGGTAGCATTTGAGAAAAACAATATAATGCGATACTGAATTGATACAACTTTCTCTATTGAATTTTCATTAATAACTCATTGGAAAGTCTTGAAAGAAACAAAAATGTTTTGTCAGGGTTATGTCCTGTATGCTGAACTGGTAGAAGCTTAAGATGTTGAGTTGACTGCATGCAAGGGAAGCAGAGATCTTCCTGTTTTAAAATAATCCATGCATTACTTGCCTTTCTTAACACTGTCCAGTTTTTTTATCTGTATATTATTAAATACTACTGCATATTGTAGTTGTAAAGTATCAAACGTTCCTAGTGAACAGCTATTTGTACTTTTGTTATATTCATTAATATCTTTACAATGTGATTAGTTGGTATGCACATGAAAACCCAGTCTGTCTGTAATAGATTTTATATGAAGTAAGGAGATCTATAAAGACAAGAAGAGCTTTTAATAGCTTGTAGCCCTTCTGACACTTGATGGGTATGTTGGGTGCTATAATTCTAGAGGCTCTCCCTTAATTTCTTTATGAATATATTTTTTTTGCGTAGAGTTCTGTGCTGAGTACCTTGCTGTGATGTTTTATCTAACAGGAATGAAACAAAGTGAAATTTCCTGGAACGTTTCTCCTTAAAAGATTAATACAAAAGCGTGTTAGAGACCAGAAATTTAGTAAGCTTTACCATATGGAATTTGAATTACTTGGGCTTAATGGCTTTCATAAGCCCTACAGTACCAGGAAAAATTAATGAAAAAAGCCAGTAATACATCAGTTTGGCTTTTTTTGTTTTCTGTACTGCTCTCTAGTCTAGGATATGCCTGGTGAGGGAGGTAGAGGGTCACACTGGGGAGAGTATCCGAGGAAGTATTGCTTTCTGACAGTGCTGGAGAAAGCATGCCCAGCTTCTGGCCAGAGAGAGCCTGGGCTGGCATTTAGCTACCGTTGGTCTGATGCAGCTCTGTCACCTGGCATCTCGCCTTCACCTGAGTGTCAGCAATAGCAAGGAAAGGCGTAGAGGCATCCTCCACTCAACTTATTTCTGCAATGAGTTTTACAGGTTACTTCGGGAGTGATGGAGGTAGCAGGAGATGGTTCTCAAGCTGTCTTTCCTTTCAGCTTAACAAATTCTAAGGGCCAGTCTTAGGGAGGATTGCTTCTTAGGAAGGAGTATGTATGTGCAGAAAAAAAAAATAGTAGAGAAGAAAGCAAGCTATTAAGAACATAGCAACAGGAATGAGGGAAGAAAATATTTTTAATGGAGTGAGGAGTACGTGCAAGTTTCAATTAATTATCAAGCTATTGTTGATTTCAACCTATAGCTTGAAATGGGGAAAAAAAATTTAAGCTGTAAAACTATGCTCCAAGAAGCTCCGAATTCCATACATTCATCAGACTGCATTTCATTCTATTCCCAAGACAAAAACAGAATTAAAGCCATAAATAGATGTGCATTGTTACTAGCATACTTGAGCAGCTGCTGCATTTCAGCCATGGGTAAAGTTAGTTCTGTAAGCTTATATTTTATAAATTATTTCAGGATCCTCTGCTCCTGAAAGGTGCTAAATAATATCCAACAGTTATAAATGCAGTTTATAAACATAATTTATAAACAGAATGCAGAGAGAGATGGTATTGCATGATACATAATATTGAATAGTAGAATGAGGTAGATGAAGTGAAGATGAAGACGGGCAAAGCGATACATTAACCTAAATGTCTTCGAGGACATTTTGTTGTAGTATATATTATTTCTTTGCCGTATGGAGGTGAAGCATTTGTCAGGGGAGTGTCTGTATGATACCACTATGCCTATGGTATGCTACACTATAGGCAACTGATTTCTGTTTTCCTTGGAGTTGTGTGTCTGAACATGTCAGCATTTATAATGCTAATTCAACAGACGTCAAGAAGTGCTGAGGTGTGCTAAAAAGAAGCCTGCCAGATGCTAAAGGTGTTGCTACTATGGGTCTTCTCAAAGTTTCTACTTGCATACTGGACCATTGTTAAATCTACTGTTAAAAAAAAACCCAACAGTTTCGTATGAATATATGTAGTTCGTTATAATGGAACTCATTATGGCCCATATTGATGTTGCATTGGATACAGCATTTTCTGCAACTGTTAATTTAATTCAAATTAAATTCTCTTCAGTCAGCAAGAATTATTGCTTTGGGATGTGAAAAAACTTGATGTATGTTTTCAACCTTTTTTGTTTAGGTTGATCCATGGAATTGGAAGGTCAGGTGATATTTCTGCAGTCCAGCCTAAAGCTGCAGGGTCTAGCCTTTTGAACAAACTTACTAATTCAGTAGTTCTGGATATTATAAAGCTGGCTGGTAGGTGTATATCTGAAAATATCTCTCATTTGTGGGGGCATGTCATGGGTTCTTCATGTTAATTTCTGACTTGCTTTTTATGTGCAGGTGTCCGGACAGTGACCAATTGCTTTGTGGTTCCCATGGCAACTGGCATGAGTCTAACTCTGTGTTTTTTAACATTGCGGCACAAGAGACCAAAGGCAAAATACATTATCTGGCCACGTATAGACCAGAAATCTTGCTTCAAATCAATGATAACTGCAGGTAAGAAGGAGCTGACTGATTATGCAGTGTGTTCTTCTAACAGATATAAAACTTAATCTAGCAGAGCAATCAATTCATATGCTTGCAGTAAGACCTGGAAGAGGCCTAATGCATAGTAGTTCTAAGTGCTTTATTTCTACAATCCTGATTTCTAACATGCAATCACACGTATGAGTTTTCTTCTTAATGCCTTGTAAAATGGAGGCATATGCTGAGGTACAGAGGTGTATAAAGTAGTCAATAGAGACCACAATGCTAAGGAAGTTACAGTTCACTCGGAGTTAGATGCCTAATTTGCTGTCCTGAGAATTATGTAAGACCAAGGCTCATGGTTCAAATCTCTCTTAGATTTATGCAAAAAGCAAATGTGTCCTAGGAATTGTGATCAGAAGGTGGCAAGCTGTCTGATTTGCACATTCGTTTCTTTTAGAACATGGGAAGTGTTAGCTACCCTACTTGGTTTTAATCTTGTGGTGTCACCCAGCTCACTCAGGAAATTAGTTTGGTGCCTTTCTTAGTTCAAACCTTAATTTCTCTCAAATGGAATTCCTTGTTTACCAGACTGTAAGTAAGCTAAGGGTAGAAGTCTGTCCCTGCACTGAAGCTGTCCCCTCCTGCAGCAGATGCATGCGATTAAGGAAAGGGCAAGTAGGGGAGACCGTAATTCTCCAGCTCAGTGCACATACCTGCAGGTGGTGGCATAGATTCTGGTCCTAGTTCCTAGGACACGTTTATTTTTTGCGTAAAAGACTCATTAGATAAAACTGGATAAACAGTTGGAAGCAGGGACTGCATTCTGTCCAGGTTAAGATGCAGAGGTGTTTAAAAGGAATCAGATCATAACAAATAGAACATATATATAAGAAAAGCAGGAGCGTTTTTGGAATATTATGCTCAATTTAGAACATCAAGCTAAGGAAACTACATTTATAATGGAGAAGGATGTGAGGAAATATAATTGATCTGTTAATTTTTTGAAAAGATAGCTATCACATAATGAATTAAAAGAATTATCAACTAAAAATAAGAGAGAAGCAGGTATCGGATATCTAACAACTATCCATTAAATGCAATCTCTGTCTTCTAGATCACTAATTGAAAACCAGACTAGGGCTAACAATGTCAATAAATCATTCTAGTCCAAGTTCTTCTGTAGAGTTTTGGCCTCTCATGTCAGTGTTAAGGCATGGTGTTGAGCCATGAAGGAAAAATTCACGTTGCTGCTGCCATGTTACACTGCTTTGAAAAAAAAACCCTCCTCTTCTCCTTTACTTTCATTCAGTAAACTGAACATATCTCTGTTTTTTAAGAAAGTAACAGTTGCTTCAGCTAGCGTGATGTTTCTGCCATGCCACACCTGTTTGGGGAAGGGAATATATGGTTTCTAATGTTTTGTTCTGTAAACAAAACCTTTCTGACTTATTTATTTATAAGCTAGAAATCTGAGCAACTACCATGACAGGCTTCCCTCTTTAAGAAAGAAAACTCTTTAAGCGCTAGGTTAGGTCAACCATGCTTTTATCTAGCTGAATCTTGAAAATCTTTGAGGATGGAGATTCCACAACTTCTCTGGATAGCAGTTCCAGTGCTGTGCTATACTCTGAATGAAAAAAAGGTTTTCTTACTGTTTATTCTGAACCTTTCAAGCCAACATTTGTCGCTGTTGCCTCTTGTATCCTAGCAAGGAGAGTTTGGCTCTCTTGTCTTTGTAATTCCATTTCAGATCGTTGGGGGCTGCTATTAGTCTCCTTAGCCTCTTTAGGCTTGAAAAGTCTAGTTCTTACAGCCTTTCTAAGCTGTGTACGCTATACTGCAATGATCTTGGTAGCCCTCTGATGGACCCTCTCTGGTTTTTCAGCATCTCTCCTGGGCAGCCCGTTCCAAAACTGCAAACATTCCAGCATTTAGAAGAAGGGGATAACTTCCTTTTTTCAAACGTTTCTCGTATGTGTCCTTGAGAAACAACCTTATGAGGTTCAGCTGTTGTACATCTTAAATACAAAGTTAAACTGGAAACTTAAAAAAAATAAAATGAAAGACTTGGGAAATAGCTTGGGTTTTATGATATGACAAAGTTCACTTTCAAAATGAGGTCAAATGTGGACATTTTTATGTTTTAAGAAGTAATTTGGAAGTTTATAGATTGAATAAGGCAGAAGCTTATGATGAAAGCCAATTCATAATCATTATTGCATTGCTACATCTAATGGCATCCTTTTTTAGAGAGGCTGTTCTAGTATGCTAATGTTTTACAAGAATGCTACTCAAACACTTTCTTTTTCATTGGAAGGGAAGAGGTTAATCTGTTTTTAAAACAATCTTCAAACCTGTTGCATGCAAAGAATGCAAGGTAAGCTTTTGTCTGGAGTCCAGTATTTCACAAGAGTATTGTAGTTTTTAGCTATATGGGCATTGTACAATAAAACGGTTTATGTATCTGTGTTCTTAATCCAAGTCTGAAAGAATCTGTTAAAACAACAGAAGCCAGAAGATTTTTCAGATTTATACGGGAACTAAAAATGCACAATTAGTCAGAGATTTGATGATACACATTCAGGTCTTGCTTTTTTGGTCAGGTTTTGAGCCTGTGGTGATAGAAAATGTATTAGAAGGCGATGAGCTACGGACAGACATTGAAGCAGTGGAGGCTAAAATCAAGGCTCTTGGTGCTGAAAATATTCTTTGTGTGCATTCTACAACGTCTTGCTTTGCTCCAAGGGTACCTGATAGGTAAGTAGTCTTTGTAAGAAGTGTGTCGTTACTGTAAAACAAACAAACACCACCACACCCCCCAAAAAAACCCCCAACAAACAAAACCTCCATGTTTTGAATGTCTATCTTCCTAAAATTGCTTAATTACTGCCAACAATTAGTAAAGATACTTTCATCCCCTTGCTTAAGGAAAATGGCAGGTTGAAACAATGTTCCACTTTCAGAAAAGTATATTAAAAAAGTGAGAATAATGCAGAAGGTCTTCCTTCTGCCATATAATTGAGGTTAATGATGATCTCTTGTGGTGAAATGAATGTCATTTTGGCAGTGGTTTTCTTATAATTTCATGGAAGTAGTAAAAGTAGACTTTCATAGAAACATAGTCCAGGAAATGTAGTTCCATAGCTAATGCCACATTTTAATATTACTGTTGCCTCTTCTACTCTTCTCCTCTAGCCAATGATGATGAATTTTCCTAGGCTGTTAATACAGTTTAAAAAAAAAAAAAAAGCTACAGCTACATTTAAAATCTTTGCTTGAGTTACGCTTTCCTGTATTATACTGATGTTTATAGGGCTAATTAAGATATACTGATACAAGGAAACTCTTGGAAGCATCTAGGGCAGATGTGCTGTATGAGTATAACATGATTTGCCCTGATGTAACTTGTCTTGGTTTGAACATTTCCTGCCTGATTGCATGCTGCTGCTACTTCTTATTTCCAGCTGTTAAATCACCGTTAAAAGAAGCTAAAAATACGTTGTATTCTCTCCTAATATTATGTGTCCATGTACATAACTTCCGTAGTTGCTACAAAGATGTCATTCAAGCACTAGCTGAAGCTGAGATGAGCATTATGGTTATGGATGGGAAATAGGGTATCTGAGACCTTATTTCAATGTGTAGCTTGGTTATGAAATACTTGAAAAACTTCTCAATCTGAAAATGACATGTTGGAGTAGAGGTGGCTAAAGCACTTGGTATATTGAGTCATTTGTCCAAAACGAGCACCATTGTTACTCGCAAAACCTGCTTTCTCTATTTGCTTATGAAAATAAGTATCAGGAAGCAAATTTGTTAAGTTTTACAATTGAACAGGTATATTTTTATGGGTTTGTATGTAGTACACTGAAGTATGAGATATTAGCAAGTTGTCTTTTTTTACATGGTTTTAAATGTAGTGTCTCAGTTGTTCCACTTTAATTGTTCTTAATTTATCACAAAATTGCACAGACTTATGTATAGAGTTCCTCTGCAGTGCATGCTTTTTTGTTAATTACTTTGTTATCTAGAAAATTTAGTTTAATATTTGCAAGTGTAGGAAAGAAACATTATGGACTCTGAAACACAGCAAATAAAGACATGTTTCGCTCTGTTTTCCTACCTTTAAAAAAAAACCCAGTATCATAGGTTAACCATTTGCTAGAGGGAAGTTAAAACCATATAATTCTGTCAGAATACTATGAACATTGCTTGAAGTTGACTTGCAGATTTATTGGCTACCTTAAATCACAGCTATCAAAATTGAATGGTCTATTTTATAGCTTGGGTAAATGAATCTTTTCCTTATCTGCCTCCTCTTTTTGACATGCAATTGTTTTGTCCTCGGCAACTAAGAGATGAATTATTAGGTAGTGGCACTGTGTTATGATATACCACAGATATAGGAGGATTTGAACGCGCTTTCTATTTAAAGGATACTGTCAACTATTGAAGGCCATAACATTCATCTTCCTACAGGAAGGAGAATCCCGTACAGCATTTCTGGAGGTTACCATTTTAAATGTCTATTTTTAAATACCTTGCATTTGTAAGGCTTTGTTTAGTTGTGGTGGTGGTGGTTTAAAATTTTAAGTGTCTTAGGATTGTTAAAAGGTCAGGGTAAGAGTTTTATGCCTGCGTACCTATAGCTTTCCTTTGAAGTATTATTTAACTTTATGGGAATACTTCACTAGTGTATAAACCCCCTTCCTCAGAGAGATATCAGTTCTCAGGCAGTCTTTTACCTGCTGTTGCTGTGAGTTGTCTCTAAAACTACCGTATTTAAGAGAACTAAAAGAAAAAAAGTCTTTTTCAGTTAGTTTATGTACTTTCAGAACCCTGTATCTTGTTACTTTCATCAATGTTAGAAGAAAGAGCAAAGCTTTATTTTTTTATGAACTTTCACAAGCAGGAGAGAAAGAAAGAATAAGCTGGAGAGTACTTCTGTAAGTCCTATTTGTGACTTTTAAGAATTCAAGTAGTAGCCAAACTTACATTAATGCTTTATTTTTCTAATATGACTAGCAGCTCTTTTAATGGTTCATTTTAAGCCTTAGAAGCAGACAAGTGGTGTGCATAATTGCTTGCTTTCCTTGCATGATCACATATTCTTTTCAAACTGTAGCATGCTCATCCTATATTGTAATATAGATCTAATTGTTCAGTAGAATATTTTTGGGAAAAGTAAAAAGGCTTTTCTGTTTTCAGTACTTGTAGAAGCTAGCTTATTGCTCCTTTAAGTCTCAGGAGGTGAGAAAGGCAAACATACGTAGCAGTACACCCTCTATGTTTCCAATTTGGTGAAATTCTCTGCCAGCACTTGAAAAGAAGCCTGTGAGAGGGGAACTGTTTTATTTTGAGTCTCTGTGGAAGGTGAGGAATGAGTCTGAGTAAGATCAGCAGATCAGAAGGCAAAAACTTTGCCCTGTTATGTTTCCTGAAGTATTCTGTTAATGTTACATAGTTCAGGGTTCAGGATGTTGATAAATGTGAAAAAGTACTGGACATTCA